GTCAAGTAAATTGTATCTTTTTGAATTAGTTGTGCTCCTCACCTTTCGTTATTTTGTCCTTGGGAGCGTAGTTTGCTCTGTCCGGCAGTGCCTATCAGTGGCACCGAGCTCAGGGATTGAGGGTGGGGGGGTGAATGAGCCCCAACGCTGAGAACCACAGACACCAAAACGCCCAACTCAGGCCCAACCACAAAATAGCTCCTTGGGTCAGGGCTTCACCCTTTGCGCCACCAGGGAGAAGCAGCCTTGGGGGGAGGCCCTTTTTAGATTGTAGTTCACTTGCCCTGAATTAGAGGAGTGAAGAGAGGCAATATCTGTCCAAAATTAGGTTGCCCCCCACCCGTTTTTATCAGCTCCTCACAAACACGGGGCATCTTCAGTGCCTCGCTGTTACCCTTACCAACACCTGGACCACAGTTTGTGTCACATCACGGCAGGTGGAGAAGTGGCACTGTTTGTTCCAAGACGGTGGAGGAAAAGAGAGATCAGAACCGTCCCCCACTTTTCTTTTCTTAAATCATTCCACAGCTGTGCCTGGCCACCTCCTGGCCCTAACCAAAGCCACACTTCACACACACACACACACACACACACACACACACACACACATATACACCCCAATTCAAAACAAGGCCCTCCCCTTCCCCCAAGGGGTTTCTCACAGTTTTCTTCATGTCTTGGTATTTTCTCCTAGTAATTCTTTTGAGATTGGTCTTGGGAAAGGGAGCAGTGGTCACACTGGTTCATTCAAACAGGATCCAAGCTTAGAGATTTTGAGCACTTGCTCTGTGCTACACACTGTTCTAAGCATGCCACTTGTATTAACTCATTTAATCTTCATAACCACCCTATGTAGTTATATTAGCAGCCCCATTTTACAGATGGGAAAACTGAGGCATAAAGAAGTTAACTAAATTGCCCAAGGAATTAACTGAGTCAGGACTCTAACCTAGGCAGTCTGGCTCTTGAGTGGGCCTTTTCAACCTCTGCCTTGCAGTGAAGTCCAGAATACCCAGTGCTCTCTGTGGGGATAGATTAACATAGTGTTGGCCAGAGCATTGCCCCATGATGCCAGGCTGATGAGACATTGGCCAGAAGAGAGGAGGGAGCGTGACAAGGACAAGGCATTAAAAGCCAGGTCTGCTGTCAGCAGCATTTGATCCCAGCAGGAGTCTCTAGCAGATCTCTCTCGGGGCAGGACACAGGCCCTGGGTGGTTAGAGTTAAAGGGAGCAGGAGGAGTGTTCGTGAGCCCATCCCAAATGAGGGCTGATGTCAGTTCTCCTCTGCGCGTTTGTCTCCAAATTTGACATCTGATGTAAACTGGTTGGTGTGAAATTCTGTCCTCTGTTTTCAATCCACTGAATTTGAAGTCCCTCCAATGGGAGTGTTTGGGTGGATCCGAGCAGCTCTGGCTCAGGAACCGCTAGATTCTTCCCAGAGACGGATGTTTGGCTGCCAGAACCCACTGCTATACTTGTGTCTTCACACTTCCGCATCTCCTTCTTGCCTTTTCTCTGATTCATCAACATGTGTTCGAGGGCAAGTCCCTGTCGTAGGCCCTGTGCAAGATACTCCAGATGGACAAGATCTGCAGGGGAAACCTCTGACTCTGTTTACTGGGCTCTAATGAACTGTGGGCATCAGGAGTTTTAGTAAAAACAAGGCCAGCGCTCCGTATCTTGATTATTCATGCATAGCTCTTTCACTGAAACCACAGCTCTCCTCTAGTGGCTTCTGAAGTGCCAGGCACTTTTTTCACTGGGGTTGGTGAAAGAGAATCAGAAACCGATTTGAGCTGGGGTGCCTGTGGCCTAAGGTTTCAGGCAGGCGGGCTCCTCCTCTGAGTGTTTGCTGACACGCAGGCCGCCTGGCCCTAGGGACCAGCCACATGCTTTCTGAGCTGCAAATATTTCACACTGTGGGTTCCAGCTGCTGCCCTTCCCCCTCCTCCCTTCCTTTCCTCCTCTTCCTCATTCCTAAGCCCACACCTTACAACCTCTTAGCCACTGTCACCTTACCTTGTCCCTCCCTCATAAGGGCCTCTCTCTGGAGTTCCTTCCGGAACATCTCAGAAGCCTGAGCACACCTCTAGTTTCATCTGCCTGGCTAAGCGAAGTGGAGTGCACATCTATGACTGTTTCCTATGTGCCAGAGCTTGTTTGCAGTGCCTTATTTACACGATTGCATACAAATCTCATGAAAGGAACTGTTTACTGTCAAAAGTCCTGAGGCTACTCAGACCAAGATTAAGAAGTGGCAAACCAGGCTTCAGACCTATCATTGCCTGTCTTCAAAGCCCACACTCTTTTGTGATTTTGGTTGTTTTTAGAGCCCCCTTCAGCTTCCCCAGCTTTCTAACCTCATAGCCCTATTCCCCTCTAGACTTGATATTTTGCTGCTTCTTAGAATTTAATAAATAAATAAATAAATAATAAAGGAAGTAAAAGGAAAGAACAGCCTTTTGAAGATCATACTTCTTTCTATAATAGAACAACTAGAATTATAGGCTTGTTGTTTTTTTTTTTTTTTTGAGACCGAGTCTCACTCTGTTGCCCGGGCTAGAGTGCCGTGGCGTCATCCTAGCTTACAGCAACCTCAAACTCCTGGGCTCAAGCGATCCTCCTGCCTCAGCCTCCCGAGTAGCTGGGACTACAGGCATGCGCCACCATGCCCGGCTAATTTTTTCTATATTATTTTTTAGTTGTCCAGATAATTTCTTTCTATTTTAGTAGAGACGGGGTCTCGCTCTTGCTCAGGCTGGTTTCGAACTCCTGAGCTCAAACAATCCACCCGCCTCGGCCTCCTGGAGTGCTAGGATTACAGGCGTGAGCCACTGCGCCCGGCCAATAGGCTGTTTTTTAACTGGAAGGGGGCATGTTTCATTCGATGGTGATTTAAAAAGTTTTAAAGCATGGAACCATTTCTTAGAAAATGACCGTGGGAACTCCAGTATCTGAAACACACGGGAGTGGTGCTGATGGAAGTGACGGTGGCAGAGGGAGCTCCAAGACCTGGCCTCTTAAGGTCCCTTGCAGCCGGAAGCATGTCAGTGGAGTCTTAGGATTCTGTTGAACGTTGAAAGCTCCTGATTATCTTTCATTTTAGAGATAAGCAGGCTGAGGCCCCGAGAGGGGAAGTGGCTGGCAACGTCAGGACCAGTGCCTGGGTCTTCCAGCTTCTAGCATGAGCTTTCTACAGAAATCCCGGTTAGTGTAATCTCTGCGCAAGCCCTGCAGGATGCCTAGTCTAGGAAGGGGTGCTGGTGGAGGCAGAGGGAGGAGGGGCTGGGCTTCCTCTGTTTGTCCCTCCTCATGACTAATAACCGGAGCTCCCAACCCCCATGGGGAATGAAGGAGTCAGGGAGGGGACTGACAGGGAGTATAGAAAGATGCAAGCAGAGGTACAAGGCAGCGGGTGACAAGGCATCAGCTTTGACAGGCTACAGAGAAGAGTGGAGAGGCAGAAGATAAGGAGAAGGGGTGAGGTGAAAAGAGCGAAGGAGCTGCCATCCCAGCTCAGGACCAGGACTGGCCTAGGGTCTTGTTCTAGTGTCCCCTTGGGCAAGTCCTGGCCCCTTTTCCTGCCTCGGTTTCCTTGCAAGCTTCTCTGCCCACTGGAGGTGCGCACAGGTGTAGCTGGAGGAGGGGCAGCGCCGTGTCGGGCAGCGCAGCACACTGGGGTCAGAATTAGCTGGCCCAGCTCTGCCTGCAAGTAGCTGAATGTCTCCAGGCAGCTCAGAAGTCTGACTAGGCCTTAGGTTCCCACATGTGAAACAGGATGGGGTGAGGGGATCTCTAAGGGCCCTTTGGCTCTGAAAAAAATGATCTGGGCTGTGGTTAGGAAGCCGGGAAATGGGCAGACGTGGGCTCCGAGGCTCCTATAGCCCAGCAATCTTGCTTTGGAGGTGAGGAAGCTGGGCCTAGAAAGGCAGTGACCTTTCGGCTTCTCCCAACTTTATCCTCTTTGTAACTGTAGAGTCTAAAGATTCAGCTCAAAGCAGTTTTGTGTAGTGGATAAAAAACTTTCAAGGTTTTTTATAAAAACAGTACATGCTCGTTATAAAAATTTCCATTAGTACAGGAAGTGAAAAAAGTAAAACCCTACAAATTGCTGTCATCCTCCTGCCCCCACCCCACAGGTCCCCAAGGGTGTCTCCTGTTCACAGTTTAGTGCGGATCCATCCTGACCTTTCTGGTGAGCACACAAACATGAATGCCTCCCCCACAAATGGATTATTGTGTGAATTATTCCAGCATAAACCTTAGAATCAGACACACCTAGGATCTAATCCCAGCTCATAGGTAGTGATTTGAGTGACCTTGGCCAAGTAATTCAAACACTTATAGTCTCAATTTCCCTGTGGGTAAAAGAGAATAATAATAGTATGTACCTTACAGGATTTTGGTAAAGATTAAATGAGATTTTGTATGAATAGCGCTTAACAGTGCCTGGTATTAAATCCATAGTAAGCACACACACACACACACATACACACACACACAAACACACACACACACACACACACACACACAAGAGGTAGAGTAAAAACAAGACCCCAAGTTTTCTGACCTCCAATGTCCTCAACTTTTTGCGACACCTCTCTGCCTCTCACCCAGGCCCCTTGGTGCGTGTTAACTGTTCAATGCCTGTTGAATGAATGATTGAGGTATGTGTGTTTGTGTCGGGGGGTGGATCCATCTGGGATTCGAGATCTGTGGAGTTCCTGGGATGCCTGCCCTGGAGAACGGAGGGTTTCGGTCTCTGCATCGGGAGGGTGTGGGACGGCGTGGGTTGGCTGGACCAGCTGTTGCTTCAGGGCTCCACGCCGGGAGAGTTGAGCCTCTGGGCAGAGTTGAGGGCCCAGAGTGGCTCTCAGCTTAAGGGATCTTGGCTTAAAAGGAATGTGCAGTGGGCTGCCTCTGTTCAGGAGGGGCTAAAAAAAGCCTCACCCTCCCCTGGGCTTTGTGTGAGGGTTATCAACTGCTCAAGTCAGCTCATCTCTCTGACTGCTCTGGCATTTTTGAGAGGGTCTGTTTTCCTGGCCTCTGTAGGTTTCCGCCCATTGGCAGGAAGGGGTCAGCCTGTCCTAGAGGTGGAGGCCATGAGGAGTGAGGTGTGCGGTGAAGGGGAGGGGGCCGGTAGCCCCAAACCTGGTGACAATACACAGTTGTCAGCTGTACCCTGCTGGTGTTTCTTCCTTTTATAGTCAGTAGCAGTTGCTGTTGCTCTCACCCAGCCCCTCTGTGGGAGCTCCTGCTCAGGATAAAAGGGGAGGGAGGCCGCCCTGTCTCCTATCTCATCTCCCAGGCACCGTGTCTCTTGGTTTCTTCTTAGATCGCTCCTCCACCGAAGATCCCAACAAGACAACATGGCTCCCAAGAAGCCTGAGCCTAAGAAGGAGGCGGCCAAGCTAGCCCCAGCGCCAGCTCCTGTGCCAGCCCCGGCCCCAGTCCCCGAGGCCCCCAAGGAACCTGCCTTTGACCCCAAGAGTGTAAAGGTGAGTGAGGCTCAGCCGCCAGGATGGGGGTGGGGATGACGTTCAGGATCCTGTTTGCCCTGGAGCTTAGAGATCTACTTCCTGTAGGCTGGACTGGGATGAGGACTGCGGTGTCGCAGTCTCGTGGCAGTGGAGTGGGCATTGGGGCTGACAAGGGGCATCTCCGGTCATAGGACTTTTCCCTTAAGAACAAGTTGCTGCTCTGTTCGAGGAAGCCCTGCTCTGCCACCCTAGAGTTGCCCAGCAGAGTCGGCAATGGTGGGAGTACAACCACTCAACTATCTACCCTCTTTAAGGCTGTAAGGACCATCACAGCAAAGGAAAGGAGACCAACCTTTTCCATGCAGGTAGTGTGACAGCTTTATGGAGAACAGATACATAATGACAGCTACCAGTGTAACTTGGAGTAAGTGATGTAAACAGCCGGGGAGTGTATTCCCTGTGCACTGGGGCCTGGGAAAGGCTTCGCTCACACACGCCCTAATGCTGGGTGAGGGAGGGTGGGAAGGGAGGCCGCAGGTAAGGTAAGAGGAGCCTGGGTCCCCCTCTTCCTCTTTCCCTATCCAGACAGGCCCCTCCTGGGGCTACAGCCTGGGCTCCTGTCTGCATCATGCAGAGGACTGGGCCATCCCAGGTTGAGACCCTCTCTCTGACCTGGTAAGGGAGCTGGGCCTGGTTCCTCTGCCCCATCCTGCTCCCCTCACACGGGAACATTCCTCTCCCTGGAGCTGGTGTAGGCCCTGCCTGCTGACTCAGTTATTTTAGACCTTCCAGCTATCTGGCCCAGCTGCTGAAGGAATGGGACTGAGAGAGGGTGGGCCGAGGAGGGAGGGGTTCAGAGGCCTCTGGAGAGGAGCAGTTTTAAGCCCTGGCACCGGAATGGATGAGGTCAAGTGGCTACTGGTATGAAGAGCTATTAATAACAGGTTGGGAGCTCTGAGCCCCTGGGGATCTCAGCCTCAGGGCAGGGATGGGGGTAGTGAGAATCAGGTCAAAATAAGAACGCAGGACCAGGTTCTCTGACAAGCAGGCAGGGAAATTAAAACCCAGGGCTCTGATTGTATGACCCCCTCCTGGCCCTCTCAGGATTCCTCCCAGCACCCACAGCAGGGATACCCTACAGCTCTTGCACCAGGGACCCTGGGGTTGAACCAGGTAATCCCCACAAGGGGCAGCAGTCGGGCAGAACTGCTTAGCCAAGAGATGGTGGCTATTGCTCCATTCCTGGGCTTGCTTCGGGCTCCCTCTGGGAAACTGAGACGAGTGTTAAGTCCTTGAAAGGACCATACATCACTTCCTCCCTGGGCTGAGCAAGAAAAGCTGACCATTTTGCCCCTTGAGATCCCTCCTCGCCTTTATTTCTGATTTGTTCTGATAAAGTGCCATAGCTATGGGCGTGTTGCCCTGCCAGGTTCCTGGTGTCTGGGCAACAGCTGCCTAGTAGCATGAGACAGGTGCCCTTACCCTGGCCTATCACCTCCCTCCATCCACACACCCTCCCAGTTTCTCACCCCTCTTTTCCACGTCTGCATCTGCCAATCCTGGGGGTTGTTGAAGTTGCTTTAAAGTAGGAAAAAAAAAGTAGGTTCCTTTCATGGGAGCCATTTTACCTATTATTGCACTTACCAAATTCTTTTGTGTAGGAGAGTCTTTGCTCAAAGATAGAGCAAAAGTAAACTTAAGCCCAATATATGTGGTTATGACCATATATTCAGTTTTTTTTTAAATCAGCTGAATTTAAGATTCAAGATTTTATGTTTTTATACTACCTTCTGTTACATGGTTTCTCCTGGGGCTTAAAGCATTCCAAAATAAGGCAAATGGTACCTTTTCCTTAGAGAGTTAATGCAGAACATCCTTTACCACATCCCTTAACTTCCTGACTACCCCTGCTTTTGGCCAAGTCCATTCCTGGACACAGCTAGTTTCTTTCCCAACCCAGTTTAACTACCCCCCACTCCCCACCCCTCAACAGCTCATGTAGCCACCTCCAGGGGTCCTCATTAATGGAGTCTGTTCAGGCCAGGCACGACGGCTCACATCTGTAATCCTAGCACTTTGGGAAGCTGACGCAGGAGGATCACTTGAGGCCAGGAGTTTGAGACCAGCCTGAGTAACACAGAAAGACCCCGTCTCTACAAAAGATAAAAAAATTAGCTGAGTGCAGTGGCTCACATCTGTGGTCCCAGCTACTCAGGAGGTTGAGGCGGGAGATTGCTTGAGCCCAGGAGTTTGAGGTTGCAGTGAGCTATGATGATACCACTGCATTCCAGCCTGGGTGACAGAGCAAGACACTGTCTTGGAAAAAAAAAAATGGAGGTCAGTTCTGGGAGACTAGGAGATGGGCTGGGCACGGCTCAAGCAACTGCAGAATTAGGACTGGGAATGGTGGCACATGAAGAGGATGTCTAGGGGATGGGAGATGATGGGGTGGGGTGGATAAAGACCATGAAGTAATATACAAGATCTTAAATTAAAATAATGACTCATGCTTAGTCATTGTCATTCATTTTCAGAGACTCCCACTTTCCCCTTCTGTACTCAGCATTGAGTTATTATGCATTACCAGGGTGGGGAATCCACAATTTATTCCTTCATTCAACAAATATTTTTTGAGTGTCTACTATGTAGTTCTGTGAACAATAACAAAACTCCCTGCCCTGAGGGACTCTTGGCTTCAAGGAAGCAGGGTGCACATAGAGGCACCAGTAGAAAACACTCGCAGAGGGTCGAGGGGCCGTGCAAAGCTACTCTTGCTGTCCCAGGGTGCCTAAGAGGGTATCAAAAGAGAAAATTATAATAAATTTGGTTTAAAGATCTCAATTGGCTTTTATCTGTGATTCTAGAATCCAGCAACATCTCATTTTTAAAAATAGAATGAGTATTCTGATGAGCTGAGGAGAGGAGGTTGGTGTTATAGACAGAAAACGGCTGAGGAAAGCAGAAACAGAAAATGAAATGCAGATTGGTGGTTTCAAAGTTACTTTTCTTGTAAAGGTTAAAGCGGAGGGGACTTCCTCACTATGCTTCTGGCTAAAACTGATCTGTTTGGAGATGTGGCGATTAATCTCTCACTTTCCTGATTTCTTAGAAGGTCAGAAACAGCTGAGTTTCGTCTTGGTGACGTGGCATTCAGCATGGGTGACTCCATTTTTGTTAGATCTGTTGGGCCTTGTGCAGGAGTCGGTCCAAACCAATGGCCTCCTATGCATTTTATTGAATAATGGACATGTGCTGCAGGAGGGGTTGGGGTGGAATGGGGTGTGGGAAGGCTTCACTGAAGGAGATGGATTTAAAGTCAGCATCAAGTAGAAAAAGGAGTCCTAGTGTGGGGAGTGGGGGCGCCCAAAGGGGGAGGAAGTGCAGCTTGTCAGAGGAGTGTGGACTGGGGGGAGACTGAAGGGGTGAAAGTGGGGACAGTTTATGGCTGGCTAGGATAAGGAATTTACCTTTGACCCAAAGGAATTACAATAGGGAGTCAGTGTAGGTTCTAGAGTGATCCAGAATATTTCTCTTTCTCTCCTTCCCTCTCACCTGGAGCCATTACTTAACAAATGGTGTTGAGAGAGCTTTGGAGGCTACATTACAGCCATCCCTCAGTATCTGAGGGGGATTGGTTCCAGGGCTCCCGTGGGGACCAAAATCCAGGGATGCTCAAGTCCCTGAAATAAAGTGGCATAGTATTTGCATATAACTACACACAGCCTCCCGTATACTTTATTTATTTATTTTTGAGACAGGGTCTCGCTCTGTTTCTTGGGCTGGAGTGCATTGGTGGGATTCATAGCTCACTGTAGCCTTGAACTCCTGGGCTCAAGTGATCCTCCCGCCTCAGCCTCCTGGTAGGCGTGCACCACTTAGGTAGGCTGATTTTTAGATTTTTTGTAGAGATGGGGTCTTGTTATTGCTCAGGCCGGTCTTGAACTCCTGGGCTCAAGCGATTTTCCCGCCTTGGCCTCCCAAAGTGCTAGGATTATAGATGGGAGCCACCGTGCTCGGCCTACTTTAAATCATCTCTAGTTGCCTTATAATACCTAATACAATGTAAATGCTATGTGAATAGTTATGCTGTACTGTTTTTAATTTATACTATTTTTTATTGTTGTATTATTCTTTTTTATTGTTTTTTTTTCCTGACATTTTTGATCTGCAGTTGGTTGAACTTAGGGATGAGGAGCCCGTGGATACAGAGGGCCAACTGTATTTCATAGCCTGTCTGTTGTGGCTCATTCATCAGAAGACTGGTATTGACACTTAGCCAGTAGTCTTCTCTTCTCATCAGTGGCCTGCTGGAGGTGACCAGACTGCGGTGGAAGCTACTTCTGCTTCCCATGGGAAGCCTTCAGTAATCCCAACCCTCACTCCTCTGTTTCTCTCCCCACAGATCGACTTCAGTGCTGACCAGATCGAAGGTGAGTGTGAACAACCCCATCTCCCTCTCTTTGCACTTTCCTGGAGAAGTAGAAGAAGGAAGACAAGGAGTAGTTGTCCTCATGGTAATAGTAATCATCATCATCATCATAGCAAACCTGTACTGAACACCTAGCACGTGTTAGGCGCAATCCTAAGCACTTTCCGTGGATTAACTTGTTCGAGTCTCATAACAATCCTATAGGGCAGTGATACTACCATACCCATTTTACAGATGATAAAACTGAGGCACAGAGAGGTTGGGTGCTTGTCGAGTCTCATACAGCAGTCAGCGGTGGAGCTAGGATTCAAAGTCAGGCAATCTGATTCCAGACCTGTGTTCTCAGGTACTCTGCCAGACTGCTTGGAATGTAACAGATGCTCAGCAAATGTTAGTGCTGTTTTTCTTCACCACTCAAAATATATCCAAGATATTTGGAAGCCTTCATTTCTGTTCCTGCTATTGGAAAACGTTCCTTAGGTTACCAGCTTCCCCATCCCTCATCATGAAGTCTGCCAAGATGCTCACCCATTAATGGTGGCAGGGCCCATGGTGACTCGGGGGTGCCCTAGTCCACTTGTGATCTCCATCAACAACTCTTCTCCATCTTTGTAGAGACAATTTATGTTTTCTCAATCTTATAGAAAGGGTTATCAAATGCAGCTTCAAGACAAGCCTCAAGATCTCCCAGCCTCCAATCTGATTGTCACTCTTTAGCCCCTCTTTTGTAGGAGTCTGGTGTTTTGAGAATGAAATGTTTCACCGTGTGATTAGCTACATGTCCCCAGCTGTAAAGCAGGGATCACTGACATTGCAGCTTATCCCTCTGCTTCCCCCAGCAAATGCCTCCAAGACATAAAATCACAGGAGTTGGAAGGGACCTTGGAAGATCACTTGATCCAACCCTGTCATTTTAAGCACGTACTGTATTTTAAAACTTAAACTAATACGTGCACATGATAAAACACCAACAAAATAAAAATCAAACATGTACTACTTAAAAGTAAATAATAAAAAATAAAAGTATTTTTTTCATGTTGATTCCTTTCCCAAAGACAACTGCTATTAACAGGTGTTTATGTATCCTTTGAGAAAAAGATAGTGACAGACAAGTATGTATGTATGTATATAAAGTTTACACAAATTCAGCCATGTGATACATACTGGCCTGTGCCTTTTATTAAATATATATTTGGATTTAATAATATGTAATATATTATCTAATATTATATAATATTTGGATATCTTTTCATAATCAACACAAACAGTTCTACTTAATTCTTTTAAATAATTATATATAGAGAGTCTCACACATGGATGTACCTTTTTTATTTAATAGGACTACACTGATAGGCCTTCAGGTTGTTTCCAATTGGAGGATATTGGCATGTTTTCCCCAGGCGATCCTCCTAGCAGTGGGTCAAAGGATGCGTGCATTTTACATTGTAGTGGTTATTGCCAAATTGCCCTCCAAATAAGTGACACCAGTTTACACGCAAATAGAGCATGAGAGCGGGCACGTGCATTTTTGGAACTAGTGAATTGTTTCACTGTTTTTGTAATGCCCTGTAGATACTTTCAGTCAGCAGTTTTGGGGGTGCTGTGAAATTTTTAATTTTGATGCATTCTAGTTAAATATATACTTATGTGGATATACAAACACAATGGCACCAGTGAAGACTCATGATCAAAGTTTTTAATTTCCCTAATGGGAATCATGGTCAAAGCCAACTGAAACAGCTGGTTGCCTCTTCTCTCCTAAACATTTTCAGTGGCAGAATTAGGGCTAATACAAAAGCCGCCTGATTCCATTCCGATCTTTTATCCCTCTGACCTTGAAGACATGTTTCTTTATGTTGGATCAGAATTGTTTCTCCTTAATTTTACCCCAGCTATCTCTTTATTTGCTCTTTGGTGAAGACGATGATGGTTTTCTCATGTTGTGGCGGAAAGAACGTTATTTGGAATCAGTGCCCTAATTCTGCCACTATTGGCCATGAGACTTTGGGCAAGTCACTTCTTCATATCTTACTTTTATTATCAGCAAGGTGAGAGTATTTGGTTCTTTTCAATTTCAAAACTCTGTGACTCTATCCAGCATCCGCTAGATACCCTCCATCTATTTGGAGATAGTTTTCAAATCCCTTCTTAGATTTATATTCTCTAGGTTATATGGCCCCAATTTCTTATATGCTTTTTTTCTCCCAGGTACTAGCTTTTAACCCTTGGCTTCCCTCTCTGGTCCCTCTCCAGATTTCCATATCCTTCTAGAAAAGGGTTACCACCATTGAACTCATTGCTCTCGTAAGCAGCTGACTACACTACTGCAGGCTATTGAGGAAGGGCCTCTTCTGGGCTGATGAACATCACTTCAAGGTCACACTGGCTTTGTTTTTTCCTAGTAGTAATCTTAAACTTTCCTGTTTGGTTTTTATGTGCATACCAGGATTCCCAGAAGGCCAGTAACAGGTTGGGGCATTAGTGGGCACGGCAAGCGGGTCTCTTCCTCTTCCTTCCTACCATTTCCTTGGTTTAATAGTTGATCAGAAGCCACATCTACATTGGATTATAAATGAGGATAATAATATCTCTAGCATAAGGGTTTTTTGGTAAAGATTAATGAGGTAATCTATGCAAAATTATCAGCTCAGAGCCTGGTCCATGGTAAGCACTCATGTTTCACTCTCCTATTAAGTATCATTATATCTTGTTTTTTCCCCCATTATATCTTCTTTTATGAAGAGATTCACTCTTTTGTTAAACCTGGCTTCATTCTTCTGAACAAACTAGGAGAAGATCAAAAAGTCTGAATTCAGAGTCAACTAACAAATATATAATTTATTGAGCACTGATGGCATGCTAATTGCTTTAAAGATTAAAAATAAATTAAATCCTTATAACAAGGCTGTGAGGTAGATGTTATTTTCTTTTTACAAGAGGAGGAAACCAAGGTTCAGTAAGGTTAAATGACTTGGTCAAGATCACACAGGTAAGCGATAAAATTGGGATTAAACTCAATAAGATAATACTCACAGCATTGTTTGAACATTTATTATGTGCTGGACATTATGTTAAGATTTTTTACATACATTATTGTATTTACATAAATTATTGTATTAATTTGAATGTAATTTAATATAAGGACCCTAAGAGGTAGGTGCCATTTACGGAAGAGAAGAGGTTTATCGAGGTTAAATATTTACTTGCCCGAGGTCAAGTAAGCAATGGAAATGGAATTTGAACTCGATTATTCAGTAATGTGAAAGACATGTGGTTTGATATCTTTTATATTCATAGAAAGCCTAATAAAGAGTTGCAAGTAAGGGTTTGGGGGAATCTTCTTTGATATGTAGAATGATTTGTAAATAATCTACATGCAGCCTCTAAGGAAATAAGTACTTAGAGAGTAAGTATTAAAACCAGTTTCTCTCCTAAGCAGTTCACAAATTCTTTTTTGGCTTAATCTGTTAATCTGCTTAGTGAAACACTTCCTTGTGGATAGTATAAAGTAACCTCGATGGTATTCCCAGACCAAATTATCTCCACTAATGAATTGGTTGAATCCAAATCAGTGAAGAATTAAGGTTCTTAGAAAAGGGACCAGGAATGCCTTCGTAATTCAGCCCTGGGATACCTGCCCTGCCACCTTCAGGGAGTCCAGTCCCTGTGGTTCTGAGCTGGATCCAGACTAGGAAACAGTAATAACCACCATTTGTCAATTCCCTTTCCACATGCCAGACACTGCTTGGCGTGCTTTGTGATCCCCCCAACAACCCTACTCAGGTGGACATTGTATCACTACAAGAAAATGAGCCAAGAAACAGAGGTTACTAGTTTGCCCAAAGCCATGTACGGGTCAGTGGCAGAGCTAGCATACTCTGAGTGTTGCTACAATGTCCCCTTGTCTGGCCTGGAGCCCTTTCAGCCTGGAACAGGCAGTACTGATAATAGCCGACTTTCCAGCACTTTGCAAAGTGCCTCCACATACTGCCACCTCCTCTGACTCTCACAGAAACAGGAAGGGGTGGGTGGGGTGCAGCCGTTATGCCCTTTGTGTGCACAAGGAAACTGAGACCCGGCCTGGCTTATCCTGTGCTGTGAAGCAGAGCCAAGATGAGAACCCAGGAGTCCTCACTCCCCGGCCAGTGCTATTTTCACTTCTCTGCCATGTTCCACAGTTAGGAGGCTTACCTACACCAGGGAAGGCTAAGTGGGTGGGGGGTGAGGCAGGGAGACATCCACATCATGTAACAACTGAATGGTAAACAAGTTCCCAGACCCAGCGCTGGAAGGCCCAGTGCTGGAAGGGGTCATGGAGGCATCAGGCTCCCTCTTTAGTTGTCAGAGGATAGAATGGGGACAGGTTCCAGGGAGAGCTAGGGATGATGGCCGAAGGGAGATATTTGAATATTTTAACAACCTCATTGCCCTGCTCTTCAGCCTGGGGTGAGGCTGATCATCCTCCAGCCACAGCGTTCACTTGGGGCCTGGGGCTGTAGCTGGATCTTCTCTTTACAGAGTTCAAAGAGGCCTTTTCGTTGTTTGACTGGACCCCGGCTGGAGAGATGAAGATCACCTACGGGCAGTGCGGGGATGTGCTGCGGGCCCTGGGCCAGAACCCCACCAATGCCGAGGTGCTGCGCGTCCTGGGCAAGCCCAAGCCCGAAGGTCAGCGTGGGCCGAGTGGCTGACCTCGCTGGTGTCTGCCCCGGCAGCCCCTGGGCTCCTCGTGCAGATCTGTCTCCTGTCAGCCACAGTCTCTCTTGTCCCCCTTTAGCCTTTCAGGACCAAGCTCCTCTACCAGGTTACCCTAGTCCCACTGCAGGAATTTATCTAGAAGCCCCCACACTTAGTTGATCCTTGAAGAATGTAGCCTAGGTTTGTTCTTTTTCCCTCATGAGGTTGGGAGCTCCTGGGGGGCAGGAGTGACATTCTATTGCTTCAGGGTGCTGGGGACATAGTCATGGCCAACAGCCCCCACTCCCCAACCCTGTAGCTCTCAGTCAAGGCGTCTGTCACAGCGCTGAGATATCCTCTGATCAGTGTGAGTTGTATCACAAATAACTCGTTTGTAATAATGATTAGAGCACCGAAGTTTGCAAATTATTCATTTAATATCAATTAGAGCAGATTCGAGATTAGCTCTGTAATGCCTCTTTCACGCATTTGCATTCTGATAGGTTTTGGTGAGTGAGCGTTTAGACAGCGGTGCAAGGGAGTCCCCTTTGTGAATGTCATTTGTCACATGTGCCAGTAAAGCTAACAGCAGCCCTAAAACTCGCACATCCTTCTCCTCAGAGGTGTAGGCACTGGGGGTGGGGGAGGCAAACCTGGGCAGGAGCCTCCCCCTCCCTTGGTTCTGGCCCCCTCCCCTTTTCTCCCTGAAGATACCAGTGGGGGGTGAAGGATTTGGGCAGGAAAGGGCCAGAGGGCAAAACTCGCCCATGTCAGCGGGGCTTCTTAGAGGTTAAAAGCCTCTTCCGTTTTGGGAGGTTCTCAAGTGGTTATAAAAGAAAGAAATGCCAAAATTTGTGGTATTTAAAAATGGTTTACATCTATGAAAGCTTTTGACACATTACAATGTGGGAGAAGTGTGTTATTCATAAGAGAATTGCAAATTTATAAAAATCGATGATTCAGAGTAGCTCCAGGCAGTGTGATCTAGTGATGGAACCCCATGTAGAGTTGTGCGAGACTTTCCTTTTTCAATCCTTTTGGTTTACTTCTGTGACTGTATGTGTGTCACATGTGAAAAGTCTAAACTGTGAGTGTGAGGCCTGGGCTCTCTGGCCCTTTGGGCCCCTCACACCCTGCTGCTGCCACCCTCAGCTCCTCTGCCTACCTGTCCACATGGTGCTCAGAGGTCTGGGTGGAGTCACGGTTCCTTTTTCCTTGTATCTTACTCCTTTACTGAGAAAAGATGCCCCTGAGCCCAAGTCTCCCAAGCCCCAAGTCTCCTCCCTTGCTCCGGTGGGCAGCTCTGTGCCCTCCAGGAGCACTGACTGGGAGCCCCACCCAGAAGCGGCTGCGGCCCAAGCCCTGGGTGCTGCCCCAGCTGGGGTGAGGCCCCCTCTCGACCCTCTGCTCCCCTGAGCATCTGCTCATTTTGCTTTCTCTTTCCTTCCTCCGCTCGCCGAAGAGATGAATGCCAAGATGCTGGACTTCGAGACGTTCTTGCCCATCCTGCAGCACATCTCCCGCAACAAGGAGCAGGGCACCTACGAGGACTTCGTGGAGGGGCTGCGTGTCTTCGACAAGGAGAGCAACGGCACGGTCATGGGCGCCGAGCTTCGGCATGTCCTTGCCACCCTGGGTATGCCAGCTGGGCAGGGACAAAGTCTAAGGGGGAGGAATGGAGGGGTGGGAGGTGCCAAGGTGTCATATGTAGGGGGTATACAAGGTCCCTGGGCCCCTGCGTCCTGAGGATCACATCCCAGTCCAGGCTCTGCCTCCCTGGGCTCTACAGGAACAACCTTCCCCAGCTGGGTCTGGAAGAGGAGCGGAGAGCAGGTTGGCAGAGCAGGGGTTACTATTGAGGCCTGAGAGGTGGGACCCAGGGCTTCTGTCCTTGTCTTTGCCTCAGACGCTCGGTCCCTGGCAGCTGTAAGGCAGAGGAAGAGGCTTCAGGGACTAGGAAGGGCCTTGAGACCCTCGCCCCACCTTCCAAAGCCTTTGGGGGAGCTTGGTCTGAACCACTTCCCAGATCCAGGGAGTCCCTCCTTTGCCGTCTGTAATTAAGAGCCCACTTCCTCCCAACCCCCACCGCAGGAGAGAAGTTGACTGAGGCTGAAGTGGAGCAACTGTTGGCTGGGCAAGAGGATGCCAATGGCTGCATCAACTACGAAGGTATTAGGTCATGCCTTGCTTCCCAGGGTACCCAGGGATGGGTAGGTGGGCACAGCTTGGGCTGGGTGGGTCCACGAGCTGGAGGGAAGATGCATCAGATGGGCCCTGGTGGACTCCCCAGTGGATGTTGTTCTTTTCCATCCTGGGCGTGAACATCCTGGTGTAATGGAAGAAGCATGGATTTTGGAGATAGCTCTGTGATACACTGGCTGCGTGGCCTCGATCAAGTCACTTGCCTTCTCTGAGCCTCAGTTTTCTCATCTGAGTAGCAAGAGTGGTTCTGACACCTTTCTCAAGGTTGTGGGGATTTGGAGAAATAATGCAGCTCATTTCCTCGGTGTTGAACATCAGCACGGAGTGGGCACAGAGCAGAACTCTCTCTCCGCCCTTCCCACCAACTCCCAAATAAGAGAAGGAATTACAGTTTGGAGAAAGGGGAGCAGGAAGGTTGGAAGCCAGGCAGGGTAGGAAGAGGGAAGAGGTGTAAGGGGCAAGAGGGAAGTGAAGGGCTGGGAGGGGCCGAGTCTGGAGGCTGATTTTCACCTTCTTTTCTAGCCTTTGTCAAGCACATCATGTCTGGGTGAAGCAGATTCCTCCAGGTGAGTGCAGCCTCTCCCTCCTGGTCCCTTCTGGGGTCACACAGGGGCTCAGGAGCAACACCACATGCCCTAGAGGTTTTCTGCCCCAGCCCTGGCCCCTTAAGAGTAAACTCCTTAGGATCAGGAGGTGAGAGCAGCCCAGTGACCACCATCTCCCCTGCTCCTGGTGCTCATGCCCTGTCCTCTTCCCTTCCTGCCGGCCTTCTGCCCTCCCTTGGCTGTCCTGTCATCAGTCATGACCTCCTGCCTCTCCCAGCATCTCTCAAGGCAAGACTGTGCCCTGGAGCCTGGGGCCTTCTGTGCAGGATCTTGGGGACGAGAGAGCTGGATCTCAGGGGAAGAGAGGGTCTCCGGCCTGTGCGCTTAACCCTGTTCCTTCTCACTTTCTCCCCTGGGCTCCCCCAGGTTCCCCCGGGATCCCCCCGGGCCTGGTGCCATCTAGATAGTGAAATGGGGTTTGCGATAAGGGGCTGGAGTGTGGGAGGGTGAAATGCCCTTTTGATCTAGTGCTTTTCTTTCAGGTGCCTGCCCTTGGCTTTAGCTGTACCAGGGTGACTTAGCCAGAGGCCTAGACTGACTGCGCTGAAATGAAGTCCTGGGCCATTGTGCCACAGCCCCAGGTCCTCCCAGGCCGCTCCCCTCCCTGTGAATAAATGCTCCAGTAAGGCTGGGCCAAGGTCCCTGGCTCCAACCAATCTCTGGGTTGTCTTTTAAAAAAACTAATGAATCAAATCGGATTTTGTGTGTGCGAGTGTGTGATAATGTCACCCGAGACTTCATGTGTACTCAGAGAAATGAGTAGTATCTGGCAGGTGGGAGACAAGGGCAAAGGCCCGTGGATCCAGAAATATTGGGGTCCAACCCATGAGCGGGAGCTCTGCAGGGTGGGCAGGCTGAGGAGTTGTGATTAGGAATTTCACTGCCTTCCAAGGCTCACTGTCCACCTATTGCACCACCCAGGGGCAGAGGGAGCAGCGCCAGGGCTGAGCTGGCGACTTCTCAGATGGTCCTTGCTGCTGCTGCTGCTTTTTAAAAACAGTGTGGTAAAAATACACATAACACAAAATTCACCATAAAATCCTAACCATTTTAAGCATACAATTCAGTAGTGTTAAGTATATTCACATTTTTGTGCAACTGATCTGCAGAACTTTTTTATCCTCTCGAACTGAAACTCCGTACCCATTAAACAGCAACCCCCATTCCCTCCTCCCCCGCCCCTGGCAATCAGCATTCTACCTTCTGTTTCTGTGAATGTGACCATCCAGATAAGTGAAATCAGATGGTATTTCACCAGCATGATGTCCTCGAGGCTCGTCCATGCCATAGCATGCGTCAGAATTGCCTTCCTTCTGCAAGGCTCAATAACATCCCGTTGAATGTCTAGATCACTTGTGGTTTTGGTCCTCGCTTCTCCACGTGGGCCCTTCAGTGCCTCTTCCTCTTGGTGGAAAGGCCCTGTACCTGATTCAGCCCTGCACATGCTCATCGGCTCGAGACCAGGGACTCCAGCTCAGAGATCGTGGACCTCAGGCCAGGAGGGCTGGTGGCGGGGGGTGGGGGTGAAGTGGGAAAAGAAGAGACAAGAAAACCAGCGATTGGGCGGAAGGAGAAGGACGATGTGAAGTTAAAGACACACGTGTATGAGTAGAAATACTTATATTGGAGCTCGGGGCCCAGTCACCCCAGAAGGGAGGTCCCAAAACCCCTGAGAACTTCCTAAACTGGAGTAAATACTTCCCACAGCCTTTCAACTGCCCTGTCGGGGTATCCACCACAGAACTTTGTAGAAGATCAGTGAATGCAGCCAAAGCTACCCGCCTGCCATGGGAAGCTGAGAACCATGAGCCCGAATTTGCCTTTCTCAGAATTTACAGCCTGGCCGGGGAGATGAGACCAAGGCCCATGCACACACCCTTTCTTCTTCGAGGAGGGGTTCCAGCTTTGGGAGCTGAATCACAAAACCGGAGATCTTTATACAGCAGGAAGGGGGCGTCATTGAGTATGGCGGTTCTCAAACTTAGATTTTAGCTCCACAGCCTTTTGCCGAAACTAAATTTTACGGGGAAGTGCAGGCGTGAAGCTGAAGGGAGCGCAGCGTCTCTGGCTGAGGAGGGGAGGGGTCCAGCTCCCTGGAGCAGAACCAGACTGATATCGTCAGACCTTCTAACTGTAAAGATAAGGACACAGGTGCTTAGAGGTGAAGGGCCTTACCTAAGGTCACAGCTAAAGGCAGTTGAGCCCAGGTTCCCTGAATTCCTCATTTTTCCGTTTTTCAACTCCCCAACCTGCCTTTGGAATTTTTCCAAGCTTGGCTCCCGGGACTCTTCTCTCTCGTTTGTCCCCTTCCTCTCGGGCTTACTTACTGCTCCTTTTCTTCAGTCATACTCCAGCATTTCTCCTCAGTGCCAGGGCCTCGGCAGGTTTCCTTCCCTTTCTTTCTTTCTTCAGCAAGTATTTAGTATCCACTGTATGCATTTATGAGGAGTTGGAGTCAAGGCTCCCAATGATTAAAAAACTGAAAGTGTGTTTTTCCGGCCAAGGCAGCGCACAGTGCAGTTAAGCAAGAGCATGAGGATGCGTGGACTAGGTAGAGAGTGACCCCGAATAGTGTAAGGATAGCTCCATCTATGTAACACTCGGTTTAAGTTCCAAGGGACCTACAGGGGAGGAACCAGGAGGAAGTGAGGTGTGGCAGGGAAGATTTTCCTCAGGAGATGAGCTTTAAGTCAGACCTTAAAGGAAAAGATGCCCCAAGGTTAGCGCTTTGGCCTGGGGAGCAGAAGGGCATGAACAAAGGTCATTACTCGCTCACTAATTCTACAGACACTCACCGAGTACCTGCTCTGCGCACAGCACTGGCTTGGGCCTTGGGGATATGCTGAACCACACGGACAGGGCCCTGCCCCACGGAGCTTATGGTCTAGTGGGAAGACAGACATTAGTTATAATCATGTGATGACATCCGCCAACATTTATTGAACAAGGTATCAGTCATTATTACATTCGTGAGCTATAGGGATCAAAAAACAGTGGTTTAAAAGAAACAGAGGTGCATTTCTCCCTCCCATTGCAGTCCAGAGGTTCGCAGCCCAGGGCTGGCAGGGCTGGCAGGGCCATCACTCCAAGGTCTTCAGGGACCTAGGCTCCTTTTAGCTGTGGCATCAGTGTGTGACCCCTGTTCATGGTCTAAGATGGCCGCTCCGGCTCAGCCATCACTTCCACTGAGGGAAGAATGTCCTGCTTGGCGAACCGCCTCGGGAACCAGCATGACTCATTCGTCACCTCTGTGGTGTTGGGCTTGTTCATCTGAAGACAGAAGAAACTCCTCTCCTTTCAGTCATCCCTTCCCTCCCCGGCCCACCTGGGAGGAGGTGTGGGTAAAGGGTGGGTAAAAGGCGACTTTATTTCTCAGATTTCCTTTGGCTACACTGACTTCCACTATCTCAAACCCAGATCCAGACCGTGGATAGCTGATCCTTGAACAACCTGGGTTTGAATTGCGTAGGTCCACTTATATGCAGATTTTTTCCAGTAAAAGTTACACCAAGTGTGCCTGCCTCTCCTGCCTCCCCACCACCTCCTCCGCCTCTGCTGCCTCTGCCAGCCCTGAGACAGCAAGACCAACCCCTCCTCTTCCTCCTCCTCCTCAGCCTACTCAACTCGAAGATGACAAGGGTGAAGACCCTTATGATGATCCATAGTATCCTTATGATTTTCTTAATAACATTTTCTTTTCTCTAGCTTAATTTATTGTAAGAACACAGCATATAATAATATTAATAGGACTGAGTCTGCTGGGATTTCTTCCACTGCCCTGAGGGGTGCCTGAGAGGTGGCACCTCAGGCAGGTCTAGTGAGAGTGAGTGGGGTGGGAACAGGAAGGGAAGGGGTTTCCCAGTTCTGGGGAAGATTTAAGAAGGGCTCTGGCCTGGAGCCAGCAATGGTACTGTCTCGACGACGGGATGATGGCAAGTGGTGGAACATGGGGCAGCTGCTTGTGTGGAAGGAAGAATATGACTGAATGTGCCCCAAAGGCCAGGCTCTCTGCCTCCCTGTGGACAGATTCTGGGGAGAAAGCGGCCAAGAAAGTTGTCAGACAGCGTAAGTAGCTTCATGGAAAGTTCCCACTGTCAGAGCCAAGGTGTGGAGCGGGGAGGAGACTCAGAGAAGGCCCCTGCCCACCGGGAAAGTAAGCTCGTCCGAAGTGGGCGGACACAGTGGCGAGCATCCAAAGGGACGCTAAGCCCAGCAGGTCTCCTCGCCCCAGCTCCGTGCAGGCGCGGCCACCCCCCGCCGCATACCTGCTCCGGGCTCTCCTCCCACTGCGGGCCGCGCACGTCCAGGATGGCCTCGTAGACATTCTCCGAGTCGCTGCGCGCTAGGGGCCGCGGGCACACCCAGGAGCCCGCCACGCTGCAGGCCTTGAAGCTGCCCGCGCTCCCGAGGAGGCCGGCAGGAGGCATGGCGGTGGCGCGTGCCAGGTCGTCCAGGGACTGCGCTGGCCGCACGGGCGCCGAGGACCGCACA